GCAAAAAAAAAAAAAAAAAAAAAAAACAAAGCCGTGATACAATCTCTCTCTCTGAGTTGTTTTTGATTTAAGTTTATTTCCCTTTTCCTTGAGCCCAGTTTCAAGAGGTAGAAATACTAGATAGGCCAAAGAGTATGCACACATCTAAGGCTATTAACAAGTGGGTCCCCAGAAAGCTTGGAATGAGGCCCACCCTCTGAGCCACCTCCACAGCCCAATTTTTACCAGCATGCTTCCTTACTGGGAAGAGGTAAATAGGTTCACTTTTGTCTCTCATTTTTGCCCATGATTTCCCCATCCCTGTCTTCCTGTAGAACTGCAGATGATCAAAGAATCTCCCTGAGCTCTCATTTTGCCCACCTGTGAGATGGGGCTATGACCATTCTCTTCCAAAGCTGTGAGGCTCTAGAGGATGGCAATGGTGGGCAGAGCCTTCTGTGATGACCAGGGGCCTTGGTCCTGTCCACTCCGAGACGCCTTTGGCTAAAATCATCTCCCCGTGAGTCATTTGCACCAGGGGCAGTGCCCCACCCACTCCCAGAGCCAGGGAACCATGCCACTCTCACCTGTTTCTTGGTGTCCACCTCCAGAATGTCCATCAGGTTGATCATGATGTTTTTGTGTGTCTTCTTGTACTTCCCAACCCGCAGTGAGACGGTGAGCCAGCCAGGGCGCCCTGTACACATGAAGGTCTTGCTGCCCTGCTCCTTCCATTCCCGCACCTGCAGACATGAGAAGAGGCTGAGCTGGGCCTGCCAGAGATCCCCTGGGCAGCTCACAGCCTTGCTTTCAGGAGAGGGAGCTGGGAATTTACCGAGGCCCTGAATCCTTCCAGGTACCAGGAGGAGCCGAATGATGAAACACCCACTGGCCCTATCCTCTGGACTCTCCCTGGCTAGTGAGGCCGACAGAAAAGCCAAAGTGCTGCCACATCACAAAGCAGAATGAAAAAAGAGCAAGAGAACAGGATCAAAGCACTTTGAAAACATTTATTCTCATTGCAAAGTTCAGGACAGGTTTCGTAACGGTAGTAATAACAACCGCACAAATGATAACTATTTACTAGCTGCCACCATTGTACCAAGCACTGCTGTATCTTGTCTCACTTAATTCTCACAACAACCCCAGGTGGTTGGGATGACCTGCCTCCTTTGGCAGAAGAAAATGAGAGGCAAAATAACTTGTCCAAGGTCACATAACCACTGAAGGGCAGAGCCTAGATTCACCATCAGAACTAACTAACTTTAGGCCTGGAAGGATAAATGGGCTTGAATTAATAGTCAACAGAGTAACAGCTAACGTTTACTGAGGCTTATTAGGTGCCAAGCCCTGTTCCAAGCATTTGCGCGCGTTAACTCACGCATCACTAGCAGGAGGAGAGAAGAGGCAGGGGAGGCCCACCAAGCCAATGAATGAAAGTTTTGCAAAACCCTTCTGTAATTGACCAGAGCACAAAGTACAGAGAAGAAATGGCCCAGGAAATGACAAGCCCATCAGGAACATGGGAGGAAGCATGCCCTTC